CCAGCTAATCTCTCGACAATCCACCGTAGAAAATGCCGTTGGGTGCGAGAACCGAGCATTTTTATACCAGGCATTTCCCGAATATCGCCAGCAACAATGGCGATCCTGGCATCTAGATCCATATTGGTTTCAGTGGGGCATTCGTAGATTAGGCGTTTCATATGGTCTGCAGGAAACAGTAGAAACGCGAGAGATCCGGTGTTTTTGATGGGCAAGCTATGGGACCACCTCGACCAATCCACAGCCCTGGAAACTTCGTGGTTCGTATAACCAACTGTCCTCTCGATAATCTACCGTAAAAAATGCCGTTGGGTGCGAGGACCGAGCATTTCTATACCATTTAGATTTATTTACAATGCCACCTAGGGACTCGCCTTCTGCGTTTTGACCATGCATTCTATGACGAATATTGCTCGTATAGCTGCCTCCTATCCCTCCCTAAAGTTTTGCCCACTTGTTCAGATTCACTTTGTATAAAGCTATTGCCATTCTTGCAGTGCATCATTTTTCAGTTACCTTTCGTATTATAACAGGATGTTGTTATCTCTACGCGAAAAGACAGTTTTTTAATAATAATTTGATATTTTGTACGGAAATCTACGATTTACAAAACTAAAATGAGATTCCGTATACACCATCGGATGAGTTATCGTCATCTTCAAGTGAAGTAACTATAAATTTAGAAAGCGTTTTAAACTAAACCTTTTTATCGTAACCTTAACAATTACACATCTTATATATTACAAAATCGGTCACCCTGCTTGCGGAATTTATGCTAACGTAAATCTTAAGTCAGTAATATTTCGAGCTCACAAGGCTAAGTCCTATTATAAACTTTGGTTCAGGTTTCTGAATACGTTAACAGCGGAGGCAAGCAGAACCGCTGAAGACGATTTAGGTACTGTAAAGGCCCTTATTTCCGCGAAACTTTAATTTTCGCGGTTTTCGCGAGCCCGTCGTAATCGCGAAAATTTAAGCCTCACAAAATACCTTTTTGTTCAACTTTCTCAACTTTACTTAGGTACTTTTGAAATTTTTCAACTTTCGGTTCTGTTCATATAAAATTCGCGAAATTTTCAACTCGCGAAATCGCCGACATATTCGTTTTCGCGAAAATTACGGCCCGCGAAAATCAGGGCCTTTACAGTATTTCTTAAAGCTGCGCGAGAAATAGCAAAAGGTTAGCGATCGCTATCAAAATGCTCACTCTTAACTTGAAAAACTCAATTTTTATATACACGGTAACTAATTTGCACACTTGTGGGAAACGATAAAAGTGACAATAACAAAATTAAAATTAATAAGATAATAAGTTAATAAACATAAAACTCCTCAGCTTTTCGATATCAACAAATTTTATTATTATCTTTATCATTAACACACTGCCTGCAGTTTACCAATGGCCCATGAATGACAGAGTGGATAACACTGCTGTATACTAGTAATTCCAAATTCAGAATTTGGCAACTGAGTGGCTGCAAGAGAGCTTTCGTAGTTTTTCCCATGTGCAAACTAAATAAAATCCAGTTTCCCATAGAAAATTCTTCCTGGAAGGTATTCTTTCCTTAAAAAGATAATATTAATGTGCATTGGCAATCTGTCAACTAGTCTGCATTCATTCCGTGAATATTGGTATCCTACTGCACAGCTAATGAAAAATGTAATAAGTTCTACAATATGTGCTACAATTATTGCCGATGTATACGGATAAAATAGGGCGGGACAAGGAATGATGGCTTTTTTTAACATGGTATTGCCAACACTTGAAAAACAATTGCAGCGAATTGTAAACGAATACAATTACGAATTCCACACTAGTGCTCTTGGTTGTTGACAGAGGACGGGGACATCGTTCTGTTTACCATAGATTAGTCGGTTTTGCCCATGTCGTGTCGAGCTGAAGAGCGTCCCCCAGGGAAGCAGGAGTCGACTGCAGTGCTTGGCCACAGAAGATAGAACACTGTATTATGTGGAGTTGTTTCCATTATTCATCTGGCAGCAGGTAGCTAAAACCTGCTTACATACATACATTGAATGGTACCAAGACTAAATATATAATGATATACATCAGAACACAATAGGCAATAGAGTACAATTGAATTCACACAACAGGACAGTATGACAAGTTTATTAAATTTATACAGCTGATACATTGCTAAGTGATCTTGATTATGCTGACGTGCTAATTATGAGTGGGAACACATTAACCACATAATTTCCAGTTTTTATTCACCATTTCTTAATAAAAACCTGATTACGATCTTAATTTGAACAGCAGTGCATTTTAGCTAATCTCATTTTAAAGGGATTTGAAATCGTTCCTAGTCATTTAAAATTATGATACATATGCAAAAGTATAAATATTCCTTAAAATAAAAAATACTTTATTTTCGATATGATATTGATAGATATTGATTGATAGGTTTGATATAATATTGAAGGTTTCATATTTATAGGTTTTCAATTTAATACAACTTTCATGCATAACCAAATAATAAATTTCATATTCTATGAAATAAGAACTGTACTTTTAAAGTACCGAGTCATCGAGAGCAGAAAATTTATCTGAAAGCAGAACGCCTGAAACCTCTCATCTCCATTAAAACTATTTTCATAACGCATATAAAAAATTCGATTTTTTAGTATAATCGAAAATAAAGCGGGAGTATCCCTAAAGTAAAATGAAGTATGCTCTGCTTCTTAGCAGTTTCTCAGTATTATATGAAAATATTTTATTTAAAATAAATTCATTTTAAAAACTTATAATTGGATTTAAGTTTTATAAATCTACTTTTACCTCTTTTTTTAATCCCAAAATACACGTTTTTAGCTTAAAGTAGTAAATACTTCATTATTATATTCATCATTTTCGACAGTATTTCACCCATTCTTAATTTTGTCTGTTCTATTTGGTCACATAACGTAAATGCAGAAATCTCAAAGGCACTTAAAAGAAGATTTTACACAATTTAAAGGAATTGCTTTCATTAAACAAAAGTTTTAATTGTTACAGTCAATCACCAGATCTGTAGTGGATTTTTCACAGAATAAATATGCAAGTTTTAATTTATAAATCTATTACGCTAATACATTTATATATAACTCAGTTAAGTCAATAATAAGATTCTAATCAATAAATCGATTCAATTAATGCATTTATTATTTAACATTAATTGGTTTGTGTTGGTGGATTTAATTAGTAAATCAAGCCAAATTAATTGGTAAATCAAGTCAATACGCAAACTGTGATTGCTAAATCCATTAAATAAGTATTGCTATTTCTTTCTTTTTCGAGATTAGTTTGTACGGAGCTTAACTATTGAAAATGTTAAGTTTTGGCATCGTAAAAACAGTTAGGTGACTTACTCATCCTAAATTTTCCAGTATATTAACACTTTACCATCTTAGATTAAGATTTAAAACAAACGCTTCTATTATATCTTTAGTCTAACAAGTTTATATAGTTCGTATAATTACAGTAGACCTCCTCTGCTTACGGAATTAACAACATACAGACCTTAAAGCATACAAATATATAAAATTTGCAAGCCTATAAGTTTTGACTTAAGACTTGGATGACGCGAGCAAACACGGCTAGTAAAGGCTAAAGCCAATTCAATTTAGAAAATGGACGAAAAAAGTATTGAGAAAATCAGCGATCGCTTCCAAAAGTTCTGTTTTAATTTTCGGAACTCTGTTTTTATATTCTTCTTTCCAGATCAATTAACAAAATTCCATCCTGGGTTTTTCACTTTTAAAACCATGTAAAATTTTACATTGGTGAATCAGTTCTTACATTTACTGATATTTAATTAAAAAATACGTTAACAGAACATATATTTGAATGTTTGTTTGTTTGTCTTTACAAATGTACAGTTTAATTCCGATCTGTACGAAACTTGCTACACTCGACCTTCAAAACAAGAGGAAGGTCGCTGTCTACATGCGATTTCTCAAAAACCAGCCCGTGGGGTCCGCAGTGTTTAAATACATTACGCTAATTTAAAGAACTTTTGATTAAAAACTCAGAGATTGCCACTCTACAAAGCGTAAGATGTATATATTTCTAATTTAATCAGAAAACTCGGCGATATACAAAAGTTCTGTTGCCAATCTAAAAAACGCAATAATATTAATTTGTCTGGAATTTTATAAACAGAATCGGTGATTTAAGAGAAATGAGTTGCCACTATCCAAGTTAAAATATTTTAAAGTGTGTTATCGTCCAGCAAAATGTAAAATATTCCTTTTTCACGCATTAACATGCGTGTTGCTGCATCATACGCATTTTCTTTGCTTTTTGAAAGCGAATATGTGATATCCGTGCACGCACTAGATGGAAAAACAAAAATTATTCTATATTCAAAAGCACTTCAATAAACAGAATTAAAACACAAACACTTCCTTTCCTTTAAAACGCACACCGGGTAACAGTTTGTCATTAATAAATGCAACTATGTAAAATTCATCATTTAAGGGAAATACTTTTCTTGAAAATATGTCTTTTGATAAACCCATTTATCAATTGATCGGCTTTAAATAGCAAATAAATCGATGCGTAAGAGAACTAAAAAATCACTTAAACTGGCATTGTTCTTTTACCTCCTTTGAAATCGATTAATCAAGCATTTAAATTGATTAGACATTTTGAAAAGACGAGTAAGCTTCTTAATTTTAATATTTAGCTGACAAATCATTAGTGAATGTAACTACTTGATGTTTACTATCTGGACGTAATATTTTGCAACCTTTTACTCGAAATAATAGGAGCCATTTCTTTTTATTGTATTTAGATACAGGAGATTGAGAGAAATTTTCTTTGTCATTAAATATGTATTTGCAGTTAAAAGACATTAGTGGAGGTGGAAACTTTGATCTTGAAAAGGGTTTATATAACTTTAGGTATCAAATTTAAAGATTGAGATGTTTTATACTGTAAAAATATGTAAGTAGATTTTTAACAGAAAAAATTATATTTTCTTTTCATTTTCTCTTTCCAGCAAGTTGTGTCCGATTCGATGATGGCAGAGCTGAAGGAATGTTTTATGGAAGCCTATGACGACAACAAGGATGGAAAGATTGAGATAAGAGAGGTAGGCAACCATTACCTAAAAAAAAATGAACATGTGTTGCATACTGTACTATTATAATGAATTGAGTGGGAGTCATAAATTTTGATGATCAATTTTTCCCCCGTAATTTAAATTTCGGTGGCAGTCCATTTGCTAATTGAAATGAAACACAAATGCACGATGCATTTAGTGCAAGTAAATATATAGGTAACTTGCATTTGATTTAAGGTCTTCTTGGAAAAAAATGCTTTAATTACCATATGGCAAGTAAAGGGCTCTTCGGTTATTTTCTTTATTGCTTTCTCTGTTTAAATGTTTTCGAAAATATTTGTATAATGTGCTAAATTTTCTTGTAGAATTATCATGTGAAGAATTCTGAAAGCCATTAAAATTTCAGTTTACATATTTGTTATGCTTAATCAGCAAAGGTGCTAACATTGGAGGAGTAAATAACTTTCGGGTAAATAAAATTAAATCTGAAAAAATATGACATAATAAAATAATAACTGGAAACAGAGAAAGTGATGATATTAAATAAGCATATTCTCTCTTTTAAAATGATTTAAAATCCAATTAAACATACAGATTTTGTTAAAAAAAGCAAAATGCGGATTTAATTTTTATGACTGTTAATCCTATACGATAGCAACGGACACTGGTCCTCTGGGAATCTCTTTTTTATTAAATAAAATTTATTCTGTGCATTAATATGCATTAAAATCAACTTAAAGATTTTCGTAAAAAGGGTAACCTTAAATTTTTTGTCATAAATACTAATCCTTTACTTACATCGTTTAAACTAAAAGCCTCCATTCTTTTGAAAAGTTGTTTTTGAAGCTTGCGGAAAAGGTGGTATAAACATTTTCTCTGCAGTTTCGAAAGAACAGCACTACGTGCAGTTTTCTTAAGCTAAAACGGGTAGTTGCGAAATTAATCGTTATGAAACTTAATCGCTCAATTAAATAATAACTAAATTGAATAAATTTTAATTAGAAAAAATTAGAATAGAAAGAAAAGTAATTAAACCTAAAAATAATCAACTAAGAATCCCCATGTTAATAGGAAAGTCGGGAAGATGAATATTAAGATTTATGCTTCTGTTGCTTGCTTTCAACAAAAGCAGAATTACAATGTAAAGTTTAATTTTGTGAACACGTTATCCCTTATGTTAAAAATCTGTCCTAAACTTCTCTTGTCTCGTCTACTACAATAGAGTACTTAAATGATACAAGTCTTAAATGGGTTGGGTGTGAGAATCTAAATTTCGAAAAGAGGGCTGATAGTCCTATCCAACTTTAGGAAATCTCTTCTATTGCTATCTGACAGGAGCACTGTGACCTCTATTTTAGTCTGTTTTTTTAAAAATCGCCACCTCAAAATCATTTCCTCCCGCCAGCTTGTCTCGTAACCATGACAACGATAGCTGCAGCAAAATGATTCGAGTTCCTCAGTGATTTTTTTTTTTCACATCGTATTTCTGTACTCTCGTTTCGTAGAGAGCGCACGAATTCAGGCTGATTTGAATTACAGACTCAAGTGAGATAGAGAAAATAAGTGTTATATAATTGTGGGGTATTTTGAAGTAACCGACTACAGTTAGTGAATTTCTTCTACTTAAAATTTTGTAGATATTAGACTGAAGAAAGCCCAACCAGGTTCTAGGATCTAAACTTAAAACTTTTGAGTTGTAAATATTTTAATCCATTACTATCTATCATTCCCACGAGGAACAGGAACAAATTTTTGTTAGTTACTTTAGTTCTTCACTTTAAGCTGAAGTTAAAATAACTTTTTCTTGTTTTAACTGTACGGTATTTCTCCCGCCTTCCTAGCGTGCCTTCGTGGTGTAGTGATCAGCACACTGGGCGCGTATTACAAAGTTCCATGGTTCGACTCCCTGCGAAGGCGTTTGCTAATTTTTCATCTTTCCTGCTTCCAAAAATATACCTAATGTCTCTACAGTAGCGCCTGAACTAAAAGGGTTGTGGATGATGACTCTTCACAGCCAGGATTTGGAGATTGGGTCTCCTAAAAACCCCAGTCGCCCTTTAAAAGAGGGAGTATGTAAGGTATTTCTCCCGCCTTCCTAGCGTGCCTTCGTGGTGTAGTGATCAGCACACTGAGTCGGTATTCCAGAGGTCCGTGGTTCGATTCCCGGCGAAGACGGTTGCTCATTTTTCATCTCTCCGGCTTTTCCAATTAACCTAATGACTCTACATAACTTTCATCTCTTTTATTTGTATTTTTAAGTAGTCTAGTTTTAATACTTAAGATAGGACTAAGATTTTCCTCACAATTTAGAAACCTAGACTAGTATTTATATAAAGTTAATTTCAACTTTGGAAAAATGAAATTAAAACTTTAATATTACTCAGAAATGTATTACCTCTGTTATTATAACCACCACCACTATCCAAACTTATCGGCGGGAGGGTGCCTTCTATTAGACAACCAGTAAAAACCTCTTTAGCGAAAGAAGATCCGAGATCTTTTCAGATGTCTCCGTTGCTTCATTTTTCGCTTTACATCAGAACGTTATTGCTTTTCTTGGCTCATCTTACGAATCCACGATGAAAGGTGTTCATCTGAGCAAATAATTTAATGCATAGAAAATTCTGTTCATAAACAGATGATATTTTAAGAAAGATGAGTTGAAATGTCTCAATAAAAATTGTTGTCAGTCATCTTGTGGGAGGTTTCCTGGAATTCGTTTAAGGAATTAGTCCTAAAATTTTGTAGAACGCAGTTCTAAATAATTTTATTTAATTTTAAAAACTATTTCTAATTAATGCAATTTATAATGTTTGTAACGCAGATTTATAAAGAATATATCGGATTGATAAACCTTTTCCTAAAACTTTTCGCCGTGATTGTATGTTAATGAAAGATGCTTCTAAGGGACCTGGACATAGACTAACAGATTGCGCCCTACCTAAAAAAAGTGGCTTTTTACAAAAGCAATAGTCCTTTTTTTTTTTTTTGACATAAATTGTATCAGTTACTTCTCTTGTGTGCTTTTCGTTTGTTGTTTGATTTTTTTCTTAAGTGTTGTAAGTAAAGCAAACATTGTAGATGATCTCCCCAAAAGGTTGCACACTTACTTTGTGCTGAAGATTTCCTAAAGCTTAACATTATTGCTTTTATTACAATTTTATTTTTAAGAAGCCTGTATTTTAATTTGAGATAAATCTGTGATCTGAGGTAAAGTAATTAAATATTTTTTTATTAATGTTTAATGGTGCATTTCTTTATTCTTCTTTCCTAGCTTGCTCAGCTTCTTCCGCTGGAGGAAAGCTTTCTCCTTCTCTTCCGTTTCGACAACCCCCTGGATTCAAGTGTCGAATTCATGAAGGTAAATATATTTTTAAATATCTGGGTTCTCTTTAAAGTTTCTCTTTAATTTAATTTTCTAATTTTTAATAAGTCTCCAAATTAAATAATATTATTTGCATTGTTCATTTATTTCTTGCGAATGAGTTTATTTATGTGGGTTGTTGGAAACATTTTATGGTTGATTCTACTCGACAGGTCCTATATTTTTTCTTCAAATTAGAGGATTTGAGATTGAATTACACTTTTCACAGAGTTTTGCAAGCAATTCTAATACATTATGTAAATTATTTCAGGGAATCATCTTTAGCACTGTGCGTGTGTATCGTTTTTCTTTTCCTCATCTAAAGAGAGCATCTTCCCCAGCAACTGCCCTCTTTATATCGAAAATGCTCAGAAATTACGACAGTAGGTCTAGATTAAATGTAGGATATTCTAATGATGAAAAGTCGGTAATGACAGTATTGCCAGTACCTTAACAACAGCATGTGATAGGGCAGTATTGTGAATCATAAACCAGTGCTCTTTGAACTAATGCAGTATTTCTTCTTCAAAGATCCATGCAAATAGAACCGAGGTTGTGATGTAGAGATTCACAACATCAAAGAATTAAAAACCATGCTGAAGTATATTAATATAAAATTCTTTGACATGCCCAATAAGATCCATTCAGTGTTTTTTCCCTATCTTTTATCCTGTATTGTTTAAAACATATATTTATCCGATGAATAAACTGTGGGCATTGTGTATATAAAGTATTACAAATATACAAAAACTTAACATTCTCTAAACGTGAACATGGTCAGGTGACTGCTTCCAAGGCATATACATTTTTTTCTCCTTTTCTAATATAAGATTTTTATTTTATTCATTTATAATACCTTTTGATACAATTTATAATGTATCTTTTTTATAGTTGTAATAAGCAATTACTGAGCTTGAGTAATGCATAAAATGTGTTTCTATAGTATATATTATTTGCTTGGCTATAAAATAACAAATTTTCGTTAAATCTAATTGATGCACGTAAAAATCAAGATTCTTGTTATAATAGAAGCTAAGATATTCAATTTTTCAAATTATGTTTTTCATAAAAATCTAGTTTTCGATGTAATAAAATCCTTAAAAAATAATTTTTGAAATTTTTAATTAATTTTCATTTTGGATATCTGACTCATTTTATTAATTACGCATTAATTAATGTGGCATTTTCTTTCTAACTAAAATATCAAATAACTGCAGTTGATTTAAAAAATTGTAATTATTGAAAAAGAATTCAATTCATAAAAATAAAAAGTGTTTCAAAATAAAAAGCATAATATTAGCGTTTTATACTGAACTGAATTTCAGCATCTTTAATCGGTAAAAAATTATGATATTGGAAAAATATTTTAGGTGCAGCAGTGAGATAATTAATTTCCGATACTTTAAATCAGTGTTACTGGTATTTTATCAACACAGTTTTTGGACTACATTTTGAAGAACTGAGTGCCTATAAATTTAAAGTTTAATTGTACTAAGCATGGAATTTATGGTATGACAGCATAAAGTAAATGATTTACAATTTTAGGTAGCAAAACACTCGCTATATTCTAGACCAATGAACGATTTTCGAATTAATGGAATTGCTGTTAATTATAATAACTCAATAAATAAATAATAAAATAAACAGTACGATGCTCCATATGCATTTCGATAACTACTTCAATGATTCTGTATATCATGATATATGTATTTTCTGTTATTCTCAGTCATATTCAATAGATTTTCCTTTACATATTTCATTAATTGTACTTCTGCATAACAAAGACGAAGTCGTTACTTACGATGAAAAATGTGTATTTCACAGTTCAAGTAAACTTATTGTTCCCGGGGACAAATTTGTAATCAGGTTCTAAATAATAGCACAGATTAAAAGTATTTAATTTTACATGTTCTTGAACAATAGCATATACTTATGTAGAAAATATGATAAATTTCTTAGCAGTGTAAGTCTTACACATTCAGCTTTAACTCCTTTTAGTTACTTATTTATTAAAGCGACGGTTATGGTTGGGAAATTTCTTTTCTTCAACGTTATTCTTCAAGTGAAATTAATAGACTGTTCCTTGGATAAATTAAATTTGTGACAGTTTTGTCACAGAAGCGAAATCGAAATAGAAAAAAAGTTTTAAAAGTAATTAATTTTAATGATGCAGCTTTCTTATCGTCTTCAATATTTCCTTCTACAGATCTGGAGGGAATATGACACCGACGGAAGTGGATTCATCGAGGCAGACGAATTAAAAGTAAGGAAATTTTCATTATTACTGGATCTGGCAACATGCTTTGCAAACACATCTTCTTTCGAGAGAGAAAAGGAAGAAAATTATGTTTGCATTGTATTCTATTCTAAGGAATGTTCTCGTGGAATAAATTACTGTGTCAGCTGCGTATGATGTGACTGTTTAATCTTTTGTATTTTATGCAAACAAATTCTTATTTATATTAAAAACAAACCGTATGTTCTCTAAATATTTGTTGTGTTTTCAAAATGGGCTTTAATATTTGTAAAGAATAAGTAGATATTTTCCAGAATGAAAGCGGGATTGTCATTTGGAATGAATTATTGTTTGGTTTTCAGAAACGCAATTCTTTTTCTTCGGAAAATAATTGAATTTTGCTGTATTTGAATTTCATGTTCTAGATTAATTTTTGTTTACAATATATATATATATATATATATATGGGCAAATCAAATTTAGACAGACTACTCTTTAAATTGTGCAAAATTAAAACTAACCATTAATTTTAAACAATTAAATAAAATATGTCTAGACAGTGTTTGAATGCTGGAAAGCTATAATTGTTATCTTAAACAGTTATTGAAATATTATTTTGTTCAGTAATTCTCATTATAAGGTTTTATATAGTTCTCTCACGGTGTTTACCGTTATGGTAAACTGTTTGCCATCGGCTTTTAACCTACTTCCTGATAAGCTATCGTGATGTTGTACACATATTGTTTATGGATGACAATGAAATGTTGTAGAGAGACTTTTTTCAAAATTTGATTTAGATTTTTATTTCCTTGTACGAAGTAAAGGAAGTACTGTAATCACGAAAAATTCCGGGTATCATATTTCAACGAAAATATCCATTTTGACCGCTATCGAATGCAATTTAACGATGTTTTTGCTCGACATTTGTAGGTAAGGAGAGAATAAAGGACTCATTTTCCCCAAACGAATTATAAAACTGATATAAAATGGATTCAGAAGAGATTTTTTTTTCGTGCTATCTGTATGTACGTACGTATGTATCTCGCAAAACTCAAAAACGAGTAGTCTCATAACGTTGAAATTTTGAATAAAGGACTGTTATAACATGTAGTTGGGCACCTCCCTTTTTGGTTGCAGTTGACAGCACCGAAAGTAAACATAATATATATATATATATATATATATACCCAGTTCTGTTACTCTGCTCAGTTAACTCAGTCTTTATTCTTATATTTTGGTAAATTATGCATTTTCTGCTTTAACAATGATTTAATTATGTTGTTTTTAACTTCCGGTTAAGGTTTTTATGACTTAGTTAACCTGCATGCAATATTTATAGAATTATCAACAATTTAAAAGTTGTTTAATTGCGGCTGAGCCTAATTTTTTTCACTATAGCACTCACATTTGTTTACATTTGAAACTTGAGCAGAATAGTGCATTAATTTTTGTGAACATTCAGTATCTTTTTGCCGAATGGGAATAAAAGGAATCTTTCAGTTTTTTAATTTTTTTATTTGTCAAATGCCAGTTGCACTGGTCGTTAGGCCATTAAACTCCTTGCTTGCCAATAGCGCTGAAATCTACAAGAAAAATTTGTCAGTGCTTCACACTCGTCAAAATGTTCCGCCGTCATTGGCCGTCCACTATTACATTAAACACACAACGGCGAATCAACTAGTCCAATGCGAAATAAATGATTCTTTGGACAGTCATGTCCCGTCAATAATCTAAAAAATGCAACCGCAACTGTACGCGGGTGGTCAGGAACAAAAGCTGGGTTTGATGAGAGAACACTCCAAGGCTTGCCCTGACAAGCCCGAGTGGCAAAATCTCTAAAAGTCTTTTGATATGTTAGTGATGTCAGAAGCTTAATAGAATGGAGATCTGCACTCGATTTTGGCTTTTGGAGAACCGTAGCCCCCTTTTACGCAAGCATATCAGCCATCTCATTCCCATAAATACCACAGTGTGAAGGTAGCCATTGGAAAGATATTCTGTGGGAAAGTTCTTTTATGACTTCCTGACACTGTTGAACGCATATGTTCTTACACTCTTGGTAAGAGGAAATGACCTGTATTGCTGAAGTCGAATCAGACAGTACAACAGCCTTCCTGAAAGAGCTTTGTCTCATATAATTGGGGCGAGCTACATGAAGGCTTCAGTTCTCCTCAAAGTGAGTGGAGTAAGCCCCTACAGGTATGTAAAAACTGAAAAGCTTGCTAAAAATTCCAGCCCAACCCCTGAATCCTATCGGCCAAAGCCATCCGTATATACATGATCCATCCTCACCGGAAAAACGTTTGCTAAATTGTTTCCAAAGCTATAGTCTTTTTGCTGGACTCATTTCTTTCTATCCTTTCATTTCCGGTTAACCGCACTCAAGGAAGCTATAATCAAAGGTTTAGCAAAACCAGCAGTGCCGGTTTCGAGTTCTTATGATGTATTATTCTAGGCGAGGGACACACTGCAGAAAGCCTTTTGTGTCTTCAGTCGTGCTTTTATAATAATTCTCAATGAGGGTACTTGGTAGACGAAAAGTCCTGGAAAGGATGAAAGCATTTTTGAATCAGTTTGTCATTGGTTGATTGCCGAATCAACTGCATTGCCAGAATGGGAGTCGTTTTAACAACCCCGGTTATAGTGCGCAGTGCCGATTTGGAGACCTCCAGAACGTTGTATCACATCTTGCGTGCGGATAATATCTCAGAGCAATAATATAGTATTGTCGAATATACATTTTATTACGGAGTTGAGGTCTCTCTACCCCAACCCCATTTAACACCAGCTAAGCGTTTAAGGATATCTAATCTACGCTCCGCCTTAACAACTACATGCTTTTCATGCTTTTTCCAGGTTAGGCGCTTTTCAAAAATACAGCCATGATAGGTGCCACCCTCCGTCTGCTGCAAAACCGACTTCTCATGCATTAGTCTAGGAGTAAAGTGTTGTCTGTTGAGAGAGAAAAACTGACAAGTAGTCTTTCCCTGATTAACTCTCATATTATTAGCAGAACACCACTTCTCAAGTCTCTGGAGCGGAGAGTTTAAGATTTGGTTTAAACCTTGATATTTTTTTGTTAGCTCTGGCCCATACTACAAGATCATCGGCAAAAAGGGCAGTGTTCACGATTCCATCTGATTCTTAGGTGTCTGGTAGGTCGTTAATAAAAATGTTAAAGAGAATAGGGCTGATAACTGTGCCCTGCTGGTGTCATAACGAGTAGCACGAAAACGTTGGGTCAAGAAATGGTTTAACCAAAGGAACATTTTTCTGCCAACACCGAATATTTGAAGTTTTTGAACAGCCTTTAACCTACAAACGTTATCATAAGCTGCTTGGAAATCTACGTAAACAGCCAATACTGAATTTCGTTCATCAAGTGCATCTTTAATTGACTGGCTTAAGAATACAACTTGTTGACGTGTAGAATGGTAAATTTCTAAATCTTCGCTTGTTTAGAAGATATTAAGCCACTGTTTTCCAAGTACCATTTAAGACAGAAAGCAACCATTCCCTCCATTATCTTTGATAACACACTAGGAATCTTTTAGTTTTGTGTACCGAAAAATCTGCCTTCTTGCCTGCTGGCCAAATTGCTTGTTTTTTGCGTAGAAACTGTACTTTGAATTGTAATTTTTTAAAATTGTTTTAACAGTACTTGGTATTTTATGTTATTCTATATCTTTTAGTTTTTAATGAAAATATTATGAGTTATTATGCATTTTTGCCTTTCCGTGAAGTGAGAACTGAATTAATTGAATGAGAAATATATTTCTAATGAAATTCGAGGAAATAAGTGTTTCGTATTAGCAGCAAATGTTGTCTGTGTTGGATAGGACAAATGCCAGCCTGTGTTGTACAGAGGAGAATGTTTACGAGTAGCGCATGCGTATTAGGTAAGCGGTGCTGAATCGTCTATGAAAACTGTTTCTTTTTTATTTGTTTAATTTCTTTTATACATGGTTTTAGATTTATTATAGTATTTGAATAAAACATGTGGCAATGATTAGATAATTCTTCAGACGATATAATTGTTGGTGCATTTGTTCTGTTGTGGTTTATGCGCTATCCTCGACGTCCATGATTTTAAAATTTTAACACTTAAAAATGTATTAGTTACAAATTCTGGAAATTTCCACGTTTCTTAAAAAAAGTCTTCGCCTAAATTTAAAACAAGAATGATGATAAATATTAAGTCAAAGGAATTTCCTACGCTTTTTGGAAAGAATATGCTACAATGTGAAAAGGAAGAAAGAAATATATCTTCTTCATTTAGAATTGCTGGAAAGCATAGTTTCAAGAATATAATTTCATTTTATCACACTATTTTTCTTACTTCTGCAGAAGTTTGCCTTTTAATTGAAGTTTATACGAGATTTTAATGTAATTTCAGAATGTTTGTCTAAATTGCTGGATTTTTGAACAAGTTTGGATTTAAATGAATGATTATTCATTGCTGAAAAATAATTTTTCAATTCATAATTAGATTTATAACTTTTTATTTAGATTAAAAAGATAGAAATTTAAAAAAAATTAATGTTTTCATGAAATCAGCTTTTATTTAAAACTTATAAAAGAATTAATGAACTAGAAGGAGAAAAATAATTTATCATGTAGCTTGATGTTAACAAGAGATTCCGTTTATGAATGTCATTTAAAATTTTATACAAAGAGTAATAATAAAAAGCGTGGCCGTCTAAATAATGATCTATTAATCGAATTGCATTATCAAAATTATAAGTCATTACTATTGTAAATTCATTAAGAGCTTCCTACACTTTTATTAGTAGTGACATAAAATAACAATGCAAATAAATTTTGTAAACAGAATTTTTTAATCGCTCGTCTCTATTAAATTTCGTGATAAATTATTTTTTCCCTTTTATTTCATTATTTATTTTATGGGTTTTTAATAAAAGCTTATTTTCTGAAAAAATGCTTTTTTTTATAAATTCTTAGCGTTGAGCTACTTAATATATAAATATAAAAATTATTATTATAAAATTTGACATCTCAGGATTCGAATGCATTTTTATTTAAATCAGTCAAATTCAAAAGGAGAAAAATATTTCTTAAGAAATTAGTTTATCGCTTAAAATTGCTTAATTTGTTACTCAGTAGTAACAGATTGATTAAATTTGAAAGTTAAATATCTTACACTTAATGAC